GTGGCCCCGGCTGCATTGAGGATACATGTCCTCCTCCCTTAAGTTGTCAACGTTTCCACTTGTATGTATGTGAGAGTGATTTGGAGTAGTGGAGGCTAAGGAGGAGTGTCGAGCGAGGCTGTTCCAATGCCCCCACACCGCCGGGGCCTCTCGGACTCGGGGCCGCCAGGAAACAGCGACGGATTTGGCAACAGCGGACCGCAGAGAAACACGCGCCCTGTGTGAGACTCTGTGTGTGTGTGTGACTGTGTGTGTGTGAGACTGTGTGTGTGTGAGACTGTGTGTGTGTATGAGACTGTGTGTGTGACTGTGTGTGTGAGAGACTCTGTGTGTGTGTGACTGTGTGTGTGACTGTGTGTGTGTGAGACTGTGTGTGTGTGTGTGTGACTGTGTGTGTGTGTGAGACTGTGTGTCCCTGTCGCACCCCAAGGTGAAAAACAACCCCCTACCTCCTCGCGGTGCCGGACGGGCAACTCTGTCGTGGACAGTGCTGTGGGGGGAGTTCCAATTTTTGATTGGCTCCTCCCCTCATGGCGTCTGTGTCCACCACAGGGGCTAAACGGGGGCTCTGGACGGGTGCGAGGGGCTGGTAACCCCTCCACCTTCAATTAATTACCACAAAACCACGAATTAAAGTGAAATATGTAACAACTAAGCTTGTGCCGGAGGCCCCGGGGGGCCAGGCGTCTATGACGTCTCCTGGCCAAACCCCAATTGGCGGAGCCAGGAGATTGAATACCTACCCTCGGGGCTACTCCAGAAACAACGAAAAGCCACTACGGGTGGCCACGTGGAATGTTCGAACGCTCACTGCAGAGGAGAGGCTGCCACTCCTCTGTCGGGAGCTGGACCGGTACCGCCTGGATCTATGCGGCATTCAGGAGGTCCGGTGGACCGGCTCTGGCTCCTGCCACCATGAGGGGTGGACAGTCCTCTACTCGGGGCAGCAGACTGCCAAACAACAGGGTGTGGGTCTTCTTTTGAACAAAAGAATGAAGGGGGCGTGGGAGCGTGGCGGTGAGGTGTGGGAAGCTGTAAGCCCCAGGCTACTTTGGGCTCGCCTTCCCATCAACCGGAGGCGAGGAATGGTGGTCGTGGTTACTTATGCCCCCACCGAAGATGAACATCCGTGGAGGGATGCAGGCAAAGCCGATGAGTCAGATGCCTTCTATGACCTCCTGTCACAGGTGCTGGCTAAAGTGGCCCCTCGGGATAGAGTCATCATGTTGGGTGACTTCAATGCCCGAGTTGGTCATGATACTGGCACCTGGTCTGGAGTGATTGGAGGGCATGGGCCAGATCAGCTCAATAACAACGGTAGGAGGCTGCTAGATTTTTGTGCAGCCCATGGGCTTGTAATTACCAACACGCTGTTCCGGCATCGGCGCATCCACACAACATCATGGATGCATGCCGGGTCCAAGCAAGAACATCTGCTGGACTACATAGTGACGGACCAGCGAATGCGAGCCCATGTCCTTGACACCAGGACCTACCGTGGAGCTGATCTGCCCTCTGACCATCGACTAGTCATCTGTAAGATGCGCCTGCCATTCTTCCACTCCGGTGGTGGGTGTACACCCAGGACCCCATTCCAACCTAAAGTGGCCTGGTCTCAGTTATCTGATGAAAGTTGCAAGCGAGAATTTCATCATCGCTTGCGGCTGGGATTGGCATCGTCCCCGACTCCTCCTGATGTCGAGGGTAAATGGGCGAGGTTTAGGACTGTGACTCATGCAGCTGCAATGGCTGCTTTGGGTACGCGGTCCAGACCTCCCCAGACACCCTGGATGACAGAGGAGTTGTTCAGGATGGTTGAGAAAAAGCGACAGGCCCACTGTCATCGGCTACAGAATCCCACGTCAGAGAATGAGGAGGCTTACCGCAGCCTTCGCTCGGAGGTTCGGAGAGCCGTGAGGCGCTGCAAGGATGGGTGGTGGTCGCGGGTTGCTGAGGAGATGGAGTCTGCCTCAGTGGCCCGTGATCACAAATCGCTATTTAACTCCATCAAAAAAGTAACCTGCAGCGCCACACCTATTACCATCATTAGGGGAAAAAACGGTGATCCCATTTCCGACCCCCAGGAACAGGTTCGCAGATTTGCTGAGCATTTCTGTGAGGTCCTGGGGGAGGGAAAATCCCACAGCCAGGAAAACATCGTGGCACAAAGTGAGGATGACCCTGCTGAGGCTGCGGTGCCTCAAATATTGGATGAAGTCACCCCCTGTGAGTGGCTGGCTGAGGTGCCATCTGCTGAGGAAGTATTGAAGGCGATCCGGAGTCTGAGACCAGGAAAGGCAGCGGGCAGAGATGATCTCCCAAGCGAAATGCTGAGGGAGGGTGGCGTTTGTGCACAGACTGCCCTATATGACATCATAACAACAGTCTGGACCACTGGACGGGTTCCGCAGGATTGGAAGGATGCCCTGGTGGTCCCCCTTTTTAAGAAGGGGGACCGCACAGACTGTAACAACTACAGGGGCATCTCACTCCTCAGTGTGCCGGGAAAGGTCCTGGCAAGGATTATTCAGGCAGTCGCCCTCCAACAACAACGGAGGGCGGAGGAGCGACGCTCACAACAGCGAGCGGAGCGCCGGGTGGCTAAAGCACAGCAGGTTGGCACAGTAGGGGGCACAGGTGGTGCATCAGCCAGTCATCTCAGTCAGTCGACCCGTGGCACCTGGGTCTGCCCCGTGACCTCCTGCCAGCGGGCGTTCGACACTTCACGTGGCCTCAGGGTGCACATAGCCTGGCACAAGCGTCGTGGTGACGTCACCGCCACTTAGTGGCGAATGGCGGTTGTTGGCGGTTGTTGTTGTGTGTGTGAGTCTGTGTGTGTGACTGTGTGTGTGAGAGACTCTGTGTGTGTGTGACTGTGTGTGTGTGAGACTGTGTGTGTGTGTGACTGTGTGTGTGTGTGAGACTGTGTGTGACTGTGTGTGTGTGAGACTGTGTGTGTGACTGTGTGTGTATGTGACTGTGTGTGTGAGAAACTCTGTGTGTGTGTATCATTCCCTCCCTTCTCTACGCTTGCGAAACGTGGACCCCCCTAATGGAACATCTTCGCCGGTTAGAAACATTTAGGCTGGCCTGCCTACGATCCATCCTGGGTTTAACCAGACTGGATTGTGTGAGGAGCTCACAAATCCTTGAAAGATCTGGGCAGGGTCCCATCGGTGAGCTCCTCCGGCAGGCAAGGCTGCGATGGCTGGGTCATGTAGCCCGCATGCCCAGCCACCGCATGCCGAAACAGCTTTTGTTTGGCCGGATTGAGGGGGCTAAGCGGGCGCGGCACGGGCTAGAGAAGAGATGGAGTGATGTGGTACGGGAGGACGTGGAGCTGAGTGGACTTGCCGATGACTGGTACCAGCGGTGTCAATATCGGCCTCTGTGGAGGAGGCTCGTGAAGGATGCTACTGGGCAGTTGGAGGCAGTCGCCCTCCAACAACAACGGAGGGCGGAGGAGCGACGCTCAGAACAACGAGCAGAGCGCCGGGTGGCTAAAGCACAGCAGGTTGGCACAGTAGGGGGCACAGGTGGTGCATCAGCCAGTCATCTCAGTCAGTCGACCCGTGGCACCTGGGTCTGCCCCGTGACCTCCTGCCAGCGGGCGTTCGACACTTCACGTGGCCTCAGGGTGCACATAGCCTGGCACAAGCGTCGTGGTGACGTCACCGCCACTTAGTGGCGAATGGCGGTTGTTGTTGTTGTGTGAGTGTGTGTGACTCTGTGTGTGTGTGACTCTGTGTGTGTGTGAGAGTCTGTGTGTGTGAGACTCTGTGTGTGTGTGAGAGACTGTGTGTGTGAGAGACTGTGTGTGAGACTCTGTGTGTGTGAGAGACTCTGTATGTGTGAGTCTGTTTATGTGTGTGAGTCTGTGTGAGAGTGTCTGTGTGTGTGTGGGGGGGGAGCGGTGGTGGGGGGGGTCGAGCGGTGGTGGGGGGGAGGAGCGGTGGTGGGGGGGAGGAGCGGTGGTGGGGGGGGGGGAGCGGTGGTGGGGGGGGCGGTGGTGTAGCGGTTAGCGCGCTGCGCTATGAAGCTGGCGATCCGGGTTCGATTCTCGCTCACGCCCAACACTCAGTGACGATTATCTGAAACGGTCCTGGGCATCCCCTAGGTCGACTCAGCCTCAAATGAGTACCTGGTGTGATGTGTGAGCATCGCCACTAGGGAGATAAATGCGGCCGGGCGTGGTGTTGGCCAACCACTCGCACGTGTGCCGTGGCGGCCTTGATAGGTGCTCGCTAACAGCACGTGCCCCAGCAGTTTGTTAGGCTACACGGAGGATTTTTGTCTTTGTGCGTGACTCTGTGTGAGAGAGTCTGTGTGTGAGACTGTGTGTGTGAGGAGCGGTAGTGTAGCGGTTAGCGCGCTGCACTACAAACCTGGCGACCTGGGTTCGATTCACGCTCAAGGTCAACACCGGTGACGATTATCTGAACCGGTCCTGGGCCTCCCCTAGGTCGACTCAGCCTGAAATGAGTACCTGGTGCGATGTGTAAACATCGCCACTGGGGAGGCAAAGGCGACCGGGCGTGGTGTTGGCCACCTACCCCCTCGTGTGCCGTGCCGGCCTTCATAGGTGCTCGCTAACAGCACTTGCCCCTACAGTTTGTTAAAGGCTATACGGAGGATCTTTGTGTGCGAGAGAGACTGAGATTATGCACACTCCCAGACGTGTCTACGTGCAGAGAAAAATATGTGGATGACGCCTTGTTGATGGATACATTACGATGTTTTAAATGATCGTTTACATTGCATTATACATTACTGCACTCCTATTAAAGTATTATTACACCATACTATAGCACTCAAGTATTAAAATATCTTGTAAGCATCTTTTTATAACTGTAAAAAAACACTCAGCATCCTCGTGTAAATCAATGTTTGTCAACCATTCCGCTTTGAACCCGAGAACCAAAAGCAGCACAAAGGACAGCACCACTTCTTACCCAGGCCGCATTTCGGTTATAACATTTATCTCTCTCCCCGTCTCTCAGCTTCGTATATGGGGTGGTGCCTTACCTGGCTAACAAACGCCATGACCTCGCCAACTTCGCCTGTGCTCAGGCGAAGTTAGCGGTGTACAGGACGAAGAAAAGGAAGCTGCAAGGTGACACTGACGGCTGCTCTGTGCTGCTTCCAATGTTCAGAAGCCTGCTTAAGGCGCGGCTCCGGCTGGAGCACGCCATGTACCACACACACGTGTCGGTGATGTGCAGCGCGTCTTCTTCGAACGCTGGGGAGCCGGAAAAGCCCCTCTCTGTACCAGCGTGGACGGCACCCCCCACGTGTTCACCTTCTGAAGCGCTCGCTCGTCACCGTGGCGTGTGCGATGAACACCACCACCACCACGTGACTTTTCTTTCGTGTTGTGCGCGGTGGTTTTTAGCGCCACAGCGCGTGGATTTGTAACGTTTATTTTCATTTGTGTTGCTGGTCACTTTGTGTATTTCATGTCGAAATCGCCTCCAGTGCTTTTGCTGCTGGCGGCAATAAAAGTTGTTTAAAAGTCAAAAGTCTCCCCGTCTCTCTTTATTTCTCTCCCCGTCTCTCTCTCTCTATGTCTCTCCCCGTCTCTCTCTCTCTCTGGCCCGATCATCGTCCACCCCCCTCGCCCGCTCTCTTACTTCCTCCGCCCCTCGCCAGCCACGCCGCCTCTTCACTGCACCTGCAAGTAGCCGCACGAGCACCAGGAGCCCGATGGTTATCAGCTGATTAACCGCCTTGCCCCTCCCCCCCCCCGGGGTGAATCGAGCCGGGCTGTGGTTTCGGCCCCTTTCGCTGCCCGTGGCCACGCGAACCTCGGGGTCACCACCAGGACTCAGCACCGCGTCCGTGGTTTCGTAACCACGGAGCGTAAACCATCATTAGCATCATCATTGCGCGCACTCCGTCCGTCACCCTGGCAGCGGCTGAGTCTTTTTGGCTCAGACATCGAACAAAGACGGTGGCTACTGCCTGAACGCGCGCGACGCGGCCCGTCTGGAACGCTCTTCCTTCCGATATCAGGAAGCCACTGGGGCTGGGCACTTGTTAATCGTCCAGATTGACGAACTCGCTTCTTTAGAACTGCTTTTGGTGCTTAGTTGGTTGCCCTTCCCCCGAACCTCCGATTAGCACGTTTGGCTACGTACGGCGCTGAAAGAAGTTCAACATACACACACACACACGTGCGTACAGCCACGCTAGTCCCACACACACACACATCCTCCTCCTCCCTCTCGTCGTCTGTAAACAAACGTCACCCGAGTTCCGCTTCATGTTTCCCGAGCTTTCATTCTTAATCCTGACTCTGCTGATATGTGGACGAGCGCGTGTCGAAACCCGGTCCGGAGTTTGCTTGCATTCAATCAATGCTGCTGAAATGTGTGCACCCACAGAAATAAGTTTCACGCGCGGCCGATGGGGGGCTGTGCAGAATAGTACGGGGTGCTTCAAAAAATGCTTTAGCACTTCTGAGAATTTGCAACAACACCACATGCGCCGCCCCCGGGCCCTGGAGGCCACCTGGAGCAGATTCCAGGCACGCGTTGACAACGATGGCGAGCGAGTGGGAGACTCTTTGACTTTTTGAAGCTATTAACATGACATTTGTTATTATGCTACAGTGTATTTTTACCCGTTCCCTTTTTCCATTAAAAACTATAGTCCCTTATAAGTGTTAACATTTCTTTTTAAGCACCCTGTACTTTTAGGATTTTTTTGTTTGTTTCGTTATTACGCGGAGAGACAGGGATTTGTGAAGGAGGCGATATTGTCTGCATGCCACTTCAATGTGAGAGAGAGAGAGAGCACAAGTTCTCACTCCTGTGCCTACGTTCCCTCCCTCCCACCTCCTCACCCTCGTCCACCTCCTCTACCCCCCGCATCGCCTCCCCCGCCCCCCTCTCTCCACTCCAATTCCAAACCCCCACCTCACCCACCCACTCCCCGCGTCATGGAATTCGCAGCCTCACAAAGGCAGTGTCACAGGGACAAGGAAAGCGGCACCACCCTCCCATTATGAATGTAACGGGGGTGGATCTGCCTTCACTGTCAATTAGTGCACCTAGCCTGGCACAGGATTGGACATGACTGTGTAATATGTGCTTTTGTGCAGAGTTTTTTTTTCTGACCGTGTGTCTGCGTGTGTGTATATCAGTGTCTGCGTCTGCGTGTGTGTGTCAGTGTCTGCGTGTGTGTCAGTGTCTGCGTGTGTCAGTGTCTGCGTGTGTGTGTCAAGTGTCTGCGTGTGTGTGTCAGTGTCTGCGTGTGTCAGTGTCTGCGTGTGTGTCAGTGTCTGCGTGTGTGTGTCAGTGTCTGCGTGTGTGTATCAAGTGTCTGCGTGTGTGTGTCAAGTGTCTGCGTGTGTGTGTCAGTGTCTGCGTGTGTGTGTCAGTGTCTGCGTGTGTGTGTCAGTGTCTGCGTGCGTGTGTGTGTGTGTCTGCGTGTGTGTGTCAAGTGTCTGCGTGTGTGTGTCAGTGTCTGCGTGTGTGTATCAGTGTCTGCGTGTGTGTATCAAGTGTCTGCGTGTGTGTGTCAAGTGTCTGCGTGTGTGTGTCAGTGTCTGCGTGTGTGTGTCAGTGTCTGCGTGTGTGTGTCAGTGTCTGCGTGTGTGTGTCAGTGTTTGCGTGTCTCAGTGTCTGTGTGTGTCAGTGTCTGCGTGTGTGTATCAGTGTCTGCGTGTGTGTCAAGTGTCTGCGTGTGTGTCAGTGTCTGTGAGTGTCAGTGTCTGCGTGTGTGTGTCAGTGTCTGCGTGTGTGTGTGTGTCAGTGTCTGCGTGTGTGTGTCAGTGTCTGCGTGTGTGTGTGTCAGTGTCTGCGTGTGTCAGTGTCTGCGTGTGTGTGTCAGTGTCTGCGTGTGTGTGTCAGTGTTTGCGTGTCTCAGTGTCTGTGTGTGTCAGTGTCTGCGTGTGTCAGTGTCTGCGTGTGTCAGTGTCTGCGTGTGTGTCAAGTGTCTGCGTGTGTGTCAGTGTCTGCGTGTGTGTGTCAGTGTCTGCGTGTGTGTGTGTGTCAGTATCTGCGTGTGTGTGTCAGTGTCTGCGTGTGTGTGTCAAGTGTCTGCGTGTGTGTCAAGTGTCTGCGTGTGTGTGTCAGTGTCTGTGTGTGTGTCAGTGTCTGCGTGTGTGTGTCAGTGTCTGCGTGTGTGTCAGTGTCTGCGTGTGTGTGTCAGTGTCTGCGTGTGTGTGTTAAGTGTCTGCGTGTGTGTGTCAGTGTGTGTGTCAGTGTCTGCGTGTGTGTGTCAGGTCTGCGTGTGTGTGTTAAGTGTCTGCGTGTGTGTGTCAGTGTGTGTGTGTCAGTGTCTGCGTGTGTGTGTCAGTGTCTGCGTGTGTGTGTCAGTGTCTGCGTGTGTGTGTTAAGTGTCTTCGTGTGTGTGTGTGGACTTTGGGGAGCGGTAGCGCAGCGTGTCAGTGAGCTGCGCTACGAACCCGACGACCCGAGTTTGATTTCCGCTCACGGCCAACACCGGTGACGATTATCTGAACCGGTCTTGGGCTCTCCCCTAGGTCGACTCAGCCTCGAATAAGTACCTGGTGCTGTGTGTAAACATTGCCACTGGGGAGACAAAGGCGGCCGTGCGTGATGCTGGCCACCCACTCCCTCGTGTGCCGTGCCGGCCTTCATAGGTGCTAACTCGCTAACAGCACTTGGCTCTTTGACCTGGGGTGCGAACGCGTGCGTGCGTGCGGCACTTGCCCCAACGGTCTGTCACAGGCTACACGGGGGATCTTTGTCTTTGTGTGACAGCGTTAGTGGGTGGTGTCGCGTCACCACCACGGGTAGATGAGTGCCACGCGTGGGATGCTGGCCCTGGTCGTGGTAGATGAGCGCTGTGCACGAGGCGCAGAGTGTTGCTCTGTCCCGGTTGAGACGCGCCCTCGAATCGTTGTAACAAGTAGCCGCCTGCACTGCCCTCGTCCAACACAACAACAACAGCAACAACAAACACGGCATTCATCATCTCTTTGGACACGTATGCACGCATGGACCACAATAAGAAAGTGTAAAGTGTGTGTTGTTCGGAAAAATGGAAAGAACCTGGAAAGAGAGGAAGGCCCGAGAGAGAGAGAATGTCTTTGACGACCACGACGACGACATCGCGGTAGTGAGGTACAAGAAAGACGTAGCCACGACTTGAGCCATATCCGCACAAGACAGAGGGGAAAGTGTAAACAAATGACGCAATGTGCACTGGAGAACCCACGGGCGATCTTCCCATGGATCGTGATGATGACGATCATCATCATCATCAATCTTCGGCCATGTATTATCCACTGCTGGATGAAGTCCTCCCCGAGCCTTTGCTACGCCACGATACATACAGCTCACTCCTCTCACTCCTTCATTCTTCTCACTCCACTTCTCTCACTCCTTCATCCTCCTGGGCGCTTGCGTTCCCTCCTTCGGCTGCCGCTCCGGCGTGAGTCTCGGCCACTGGTCGCCAGCTCTTTGAGCCCATTGACTTGTGCCAAACAGTCCACGTGCTGTCGAAATGATGACGATGATGATGACGAACAATGTTCGTGCGCATTCGCCATGGGCTCCTGGCAATCTCCCCACACGAGAGAGGCTTCGCGAGTCGCCACAGCGGGGGTGGCGGTGCTTCTGCTGCTACCGCTGTGGTGGTGCTACCGCTGGTGGTGCTACTACTACTGATGACGCTTGGTGATGGTGCTACCGCTGGTGGTACTCCTACTACTGATGACGCTTGGTGATGGTGCTGCCGCTGGTGGTGCTACTGCTGATGACGCTTGGTGATGGTGCTACCGCTGGTGGTGCTACTACTACTGATGACGCTTGGTGATGGTGCTACCGCTGGTGGTACTCCTACTACTGATGACGCTTGGTGATGGTGATATCACTGGTGGTGCTACTGCTACTGATGACGCTTGGTGATAGTGCTATCACTGCTGGTGCTACTACTACTGATGACGCTTGGTGATGGTGCTACCGCTGGTGGTACTCCTACTACTGATGACGCTTGGTGATGGTGATATCACTGGTGGTGCTACTGCTACTGATGACGCTTGGTGATAGTGCTATCACTCCTGGTGCTACTATTACTGATGACGCTTGGTGATGGTGCTACCGCTGGTGGTACTACTACTACTGATGATGCTTGGTGATGGTGATATCACTGGTGGTGCTACTGCTAATGACGCTTGGTGATAGTGCTACCGCTGGCGGTGCTACTACTACTGATGACGCTTGGTGATAGTGCTATCACTGGTG